GCAAAAGTTTTTCTGTTTACCCAAAGTCATATTTGTTTTCATAAACCGATAAATGTGATACTCAAAAACTGAACTGCGAGCTTTCTATGCCAAACAAAACAAACGTTAGATAAAAAGAAAAATTTTTCTCAAGAGAAATTTTTAAAGTAGAACTAAGTTTCTGTAAGAGCGTTAACGCTTAAGAGCTTTCGTTATGGGCGAGATTTTCAACACACCTTGGCAAACGAGTGATATGAGAGACATCTTTCTTAATTTAAATATTTTATAGAACTAAATTAAAAAAAAAAAAAAATTTAAAGCTTGATAGTTAAGAGCTGTTTTATGAGCGTCCTTTTAAGCATGGCAAAGCACAAAAAAAAACAAAAAAAAAAAATTACATTTGAAATTCCTTAAGATAACTCAATTTCCATAGTATCTTCAGAGCTTAAAAGTTAAGAGCTTTTTGTTAGATAGGAGCTTTTTAAGCCTAGCTTAGTAAAGGAATGCTATATGAAGTATATTTCTAATTTGACATTTATATCTTAATTTTGTAGGTGTTTTAAAGCTTAGTAGTTAAAAGCTTTTTGTTGTGTGGCAGTTTTTCAAGCGGATTATAGCCAGAAACTATTTTCCAAATAAAATTTATTGGTAGAAATTAGTTTGCATAGAAGATTTCAAGCTAAAAATATAAGAAAATTTTTTTGCGCGCTTTTCAATCCCAGCGTAGCAAACGATTGTTATAAAAAAGTATTCTCAATTGAAATTTTTGGATAAAACTCAATTTCCATGGGAAGTTCCAAGCTTTTACTATATGCAAGCTTTTCACGACTTGCTCATCAAACTCATGTAAAAAAGTATTCACAATTGAAATTTTTTGATTTTTATTTCCATGAAAGCTTTCAAGCGTACAACTCAAGAGTTTTTTGTTTTAATGCTTTTCAAAGCTAGCGTAGCAAACGACTTTTATGGAAAATATATTTAGATTTTTTAATATAAGAGAGCCCAATTTATGCAGGAGCTTTAACACTTTAGAGCTTTCGTTATGTTTGAGCGTTTTAAGCCTAACTTAAAAGGACACTAGTTAAAAAAAAAAAAATATGCTCAAATGAAATTTTTTGATAGAACTCAAATTCCATGAGCGCTTTAAGGCTTAAATGTTAAGAGCTTTTCTTAAGTGCGAAATTTTCAAGAGTGGCTTAGCAAACGTTTGTTGTACAAAAATTTCCTCAATTGAAATTTTATGTTATAAATCAGTTTCTGTAGTAGCTTTAAAGCATAGAAACAACAATCTTAATAAAAACATTATTTGTTCTCAACAACAATTACAGCATATAGACGTCATATAAATAGAACTATTGAACTCAAGTTCATGTATAGAAAACTTTTTTATTAGACACGGTGCCTTGAAGATACCGTGAAGAGTATTATAGCTTCGGTGATGCCGAAATTAGCGTTTTTCCTGTTTCTTTTCTACCGCAGAAAATATAATTTCGCACATTCATGCAACTTTCTGGCCATCATTCGGTTTTGAATGCAATTTCTTAATCTCTTAAAAGTTTCCTTCCACTCACTCAGCATATTTRTATTTTACTGCATGTATTTTCAACAATCTTGAAATTTTTTAATTGTTTTGTGCTGGCTGAAATGGAATAAGTAATTGTTGTTTTTTCTCTGCATTGTCAGTTGAGAAGGAATRCTGCAGGTTACTCATACGCCTCGTAGTGCGTGTCAGAGCACTGGGTTGATATCTTGCAATGCACACACTTTTATTTATAAACAAACGTATTTATTTGCTGACATTGCATTTATAATTAAGGCATATATGTTTTGTCCTACAATTTTGTTGTTGCTTTTGTGTTCTTCATCACACTCACACACACTTAATTTATATAATAGCATGACATACTCGTTGTGCCGCATCATTTCATTAAGCGTTTGCAGAGCGATGATTGCACGTATTYACATATATATTAGTATATACATATWAGGGTAGTAATATATATCTAATCTATATATATATATATATCTAATATAAATTCGTGTATACCTGCTAAGATTTGCTGCTGAGATTAAAAATACAATTAAGATATTTCCAGCAAATGAATATAAATGCAGGCGTGTAAAATATTATGCTGCCACCTTTAGTTATTTTCTTCTACAACAACAATTCATTCATAGWTCAAAGCAAGTTTTGTTTATTTGTGTATGATATATGTGGATAAATACGTATGTATATGGATAGTGTAATCGGAATTTGGAGTGTAATTAAAGTTTCGGCTTGAGTATTCGTAATTGATATTGTTGTTCAAACAGCTGTTTACATATTATATAAATATATGTRAACAAGTATGTGTGTTTACTGAAATATTAGTATTTATAATAGGTATTTATCAAACTGACATGCAATTTTATTGGAAAAGGTAAAAGGAAGAAATAAATAAATCAATTCAAGTTTAAAATTTCGTTACTCTGAATTGAGTTGAATGACTACTTCTTCTTTTTTAATGTCGTAGACACTGTTTACGTTGCTTTAGTCAAATTAACAATAGCGCGCCAACCAAATTGAAGATTCTAACCGAAGCCAGGTCCTTCGTAGTCGCTGTCTCTTAATTCGCTGAGTTATGTAAATGTTGTCGTATAGCTCATAACGCTAATCGTTCCATCGAATATTCGCCGTTACCAAAGAGCAATGGACCATAAATGAATCACGAAATCTTYCTCTCAAAAACTCGTAACGTCAACTCATTCAGTCTGCGTTGAACATTGTAGCTGTTGTTAATGCTGATTTCAAGATAGACGAAATTATACACGAATTCGAAGGTATGACGGTCAAAAGTGAACTGGGAACTTAGTAGCGAGTGCGACGAGTGTTGTTTTTTGTTTTTTTTTTTTTTGATGACAGAAGATATTTCGTCTTGCTCTCGTTCACTGCCAAACCCACCCATTGCGGCCTTCCTTGGTATCTAGCCAATCCCGCACAAGCTGTGGTCGATTATAAGGCTCCGCTGYGACYTGGCACTCCTCATCGTCCCAGCTGTTCTTTTGCCTTCTCCGAAAACCAATAGCTTCGTTTGCAACTTGATGTAAGGCGCATGTAATGTGGCTCTCCTATACCGAGTTGAAAATCGTACGACTGCCTGTTGTGATTACAGCTTTTCGACGTCGAACCTTCCTTGTGTTTGTTGACGACTAGCAACGAATTCGATTAACCTCAACCCATTTGAGGCTGAATGAAACAACTGTTGCGCCGAAGATACCTTCTTTGCCCTCCCTGKCATTGAAGTCGTCAAGCACGATTTTGACTTCGTSACGCTCGGGCAGCTCGTATAAGTGCGCTCCAAGCACTCATAAAAGGCATCTGTGGTCACATCGTTCTTCTCTTCCGTCGGGGCGTGGASGGAAATCAGCGGTATGTTTAAGAACTTCGCTTTGAAGTGGATTATGGCTAGACGTTTATGTACCGGGGTGAATGCCAGTACTCGACGACGGAGTCTCTCTTCCACCACGAATCTGACACCAAATTTGCGCACCTTCTCAGCTGGGCAGCGGAACTTTCTCAATTAAGGGGCCGGTCATTCCAGGTGCATGCTCTTAAATCATAATCCCTTAACACATTATCAGGGTCCCTCATCTAAAGGGAGGCCTCTCCGAGGCTGTTGTTTTATCTTTTCGTTGGTATGTTGGTATGTTGTAATACCCCCTGTATTACGTGGCGGAACCCTTCAGCTCGCCTTTAAAAGGTTGTTCTTTGGCTACCCCAAAAATAATTGGTTTAAGACCGGAGGCCATGAGCCAGATGTAAAATAACCATTTCTAACTACTCCTGCTCAACATGGCTCCATCTTCCGAACTTAATTACTTGTCAGAGCTTAAACAATGCTTTGCAAATTTCAATTTTCTTCTGTAGATCTGTAGAGAACTTTTTCAATTTTTATCTCGTAACTTCTAACTAAGACAGATAATCGTCTTCTTTTATTTTTGTCTTTCATTGTGCTTTCGTTTCAGGTGTGGTCTTTGACGACACATGGGATTTTTGTGTGGACTTTGACTGCTGTTTCATGGAATATATCTGGTAACCTATGAGTTCCAATTTTCAAACTTCTGGCCAATATTTCCCTTAGCCTTCATAACCCAATATTTCGAAAACATTTGATTTTCCCATAAACTCTATACCGCATCTATCGGTCATGATGTAAGAAACCTGTTTTGTTTTAATTTTCGAATTATGGGTGTTCCRACTACCTTCGGTCTGAGAGATTATTCGCTTGACTGCGGCAGCTGCGGTTTTATATTAACCGTTGTAAAATTACAACTCAAAGTAAAACCAGTTTAATGGGTTACGAATTATGTAAGATTGTAAGGTCATGTTCTTGAAGATATTAAGTAAGATTGCAGAAAGATTAGCGAATTGTCATGCAAATCCAAAAACCATAAACCTAAAGGTTACACGCACCACTTGAACTCCCAGTATGAATTCACGGTCGATGTGCTTAAGCAACGCGCAACGGGCAAAGCAATAAATAATAAATTTTTATAGCAAAATTAAATACGTTTAAGACCTTTATCGTCACAGAATACCTACTTTTTAGGAGAGTGCAAAAATCGCTTGCCAAATATTTGCTTTGTGTTAAAAAYGTGCAAAAATGACTAGTAAGCTAGTAAACACAACTAAAGGTGGCCGCTTGGTAAATAGTGAATGGTGAAAAAAACATGCGCAAAAAATAACGGTAAACAAAAGAAAGTCATAAAAAGATATGAGAACAGCCTTCACACAAGTTTTTTGACACGCAGCGCCAACGCTTTAGTTTTCGGCAACTTTTAGCTATAATTTTTTTATTTTTGTTAGTCAGACAACGGCGYGTGAGCGGCGCACCGCGATAAGCAGCTTGGCGGAGATAAGCGCCGATACGATATGAAGGCGTGTCAACTATTAAAGAGAGAGTATAAAAAGTGAAGATCTCGAGCAGAGTATTAACATTTACTTCGTATAATACAACAAACAAACTACTTATTTGTAAACAATGCGCATCACTTGGACGCTTCTGTTATTCAGCTTGTGGCTTAGCCACTATACCAGCCATGCGACTCCAGTCAGCGGCACGGATATTGAGCAACCCACAGACGTGCCTACAGTTGGCGACACCAACGCAACCAAAACTGAGGAGGCTGACGACGACGATGATGATTGGTTCAACTATGATGGACGCATTATTGGCGGCCTGCCCACATCCATACGGAATTTCCCTTACCAGGTGTCACTGCAGTATCGTGGCCAGCATATCTGTGGCGGCGCCATAGTACGACCTAACGTTGTCATCACCGCGGCACATTGCGTTGATCCATCCATGAAGGTGAGTGCATTTAAGGTGCGCGCCGGCTCTTCGCAACACGCTTATGGCGGTCAATTGCGTGCGGTGCAGCGTATACTACGCCATGAGGGTTACTCCTCGACCACGTATAATCTGGATGTGGCGCTGTTGCAGCTCCAACGCGAACTCGTCTATACAGAAACGGTGCAACCCGTTGAATTGGCGACGCAAAATGCTGTGTTGTCTGCGCAAGCGAAACTCTTCGTTAGCGGTTGGGGTCTCACCAGCGAGACGGGCTAYGTGTCRGCGATRTTGAATTACGTGGATGTACAATTGATCGGGCAGGAGATTTGTGCACAGAATTACAAATATGTGGTGCCGATAACAACGGAAATGTTTTGTGCCGGCTATAGTAATGGTGGTAAGGACTCGTGTCAGGGTGATTCSGGTGGTCCGTTAGTCACTTACACTCGCAAGTTGCCCACACTCTACGGTATTGTTTCGTGGGGTGTCGGCTGCGCACAAAAGGGATATCCGGGCGTCTATGCGAAGGTGTCCGCATTRAGACCGTGGATTGATGAGCAGCTGGCGGACATTGATAAACGTAGCGGAAAAGTGCATTGAAGGAGCTCAACTTGAATTATACATTGTAAATAGCGGTAATGAAAAGTTAATTTAAGGAAATAAAATGAGGTTGTTAAGTTTAAAAAGAGTGCAGTATTGCCGTTAAAAATATTCGTAGTCAACAAGCTTTGCCTCTTCGAATAGAGTCTTCATTCTTGATATTATAGCGAACTCCGTAACATCTGCACTGAGTGCGTTCTTACTATTTGTTTATTTATTCCTCAATAGAATATATAATATAATAATATGCGGTCAATTAGCAGGTGTTCTGGAGTTTTAAGCTCCTTGTCGCAGAACCGTAGTAGAACTTAGAGTAGAATGCGACAAGTACCCTGAGTTTGTCCCTAAAGAGGTTGAGGTTGTTGCTGAGGTTGTAACCACCTTTTAGCAACTTCGAGAGAAATATGGCGATGGGATRAAAATCCGGGTCCGTTCCAGTTACGTAGACCCGACTGTCGTGGGAACCGTTCAAGTCCTACCATGTTAGTGCATGCTTCGGAGCTTGCGACCGGGCACTAAGAAAGGTGTACTTAGTTCTGCGCTGATAGACTGTTCAGTTGTTCTCTACACTCCTGAACCGGTAGCGATTTGATCTCGTTGGCAGAGGGTGCTTTAAGTACCGCTCGAATGTCATTAATTATAGATATGCGTTCGGTGCGATAGTTGCGCTGGAGGTTTATCTCTACTCACCTACTTATGGTAAATACCTCTGCTTGAAATATGCTCGGGAAACTTCCCATAGTTATAGAGAGTTTGGTGCGTGGTCCTGCTCCAATTCTCTCTGAAGCCGTCGTTGTACCACTTGATTGAACTTTCCCTAGGCAGTAGCTCGAGAGTGGAATCATTCCATTGAACTTCTTTCGTTGAACTTCTTGGTGAAGTTTACTCTTTTGGTAATGCTATCTTTTGGGAGGAGAGCCAATGGAATTTTACCACTTAAGTTCTTCATAAACTGGGATGAGATTACTTTACCCCTACCAAACCGTTCTGCTGTCAATTGTTTGGCTACGTGACTGATGATTACTAGGTGAAATGATGTGAGTTCAAGCATGACTTCAAGTGCTGTCGTCGTGCATTTGCGCATGGCACCCGACACGGAGACGTATCCGAGTCATTGCAACTTCGATAGTTGGAACCCTACCAAAGTCTGACTTTGGTTAGCTCAACGGCTTACAAATTGCCAATAAACCAGCTGTGAACAGAATCCCAAACGAGTTTGAAGTTGAAGTAACTTTAYTCCGTTTCAAGTGAAGTCAGACACCAGGTCTCCGCTAGTAACTCACAAGACAAAAGAAGAACCTCAGATTTGCCAGACTACTATGGACTACTGACTTATCTGAT